GTGTGTGTGTGTGTGTGTGTGTGTGTGTGTGTGTGTGTGTGTGTGTGATCTTGTGTGTGCAAAGACAGTCAACAAACACAAAGTTTCTCTCTCAGTGATTATACATCAATCTAGTTGTCTCTCTGTCCCTTTAGGATACACAGATACACACTTCTATCACATACACACACACACACACACACACACAATTACACAGCTATCCTTGTGAGGACCCTCGTTGTCATGATACATTTGCAGGCCTGTAAGTCCAAACCTTAAAGGGACAGTGCAACATTCTGGGAAATCGAGAAATCAGTCAGAGAGTGGTTAGCCTAGCTTAGCATAAAGACGTGAAAGAATTCACTGCCCACGAAGCTCACTAATTAACATGCATGTTGTGTAAAAACAACAGGTGACTTTCTGCAGCTTCCTGCAGACTTTTCATCAAGTATCTTTATTAAAATGTACTTAAAATGCCCAAAAATAAAATGGCACATTTAAGAATATATTATCGTATTATAATTATTGATGAAGACTATCAATCTGTCTCCAAATTCTAACAAAGTACTAATGAATCTCTTGTTATCGTACTTAATGTCCCTCATTACTCTCTTGGTGTTCATATTATATGATTCCTTAAAGTACAATGAATACTCATGAATACTCCAACAGTCAGTGCTGGATGATTTAACTCATGCTGATTTAACTAAGCTGTTGACTGTGATGTACTCTGGTTGGTATTGAGACACAGTGATCAGAGTAAACAGAGCCTCCTGCATGAGGTGGAGAGTCAACACGGACCTTTGAAACACAAACAGACGAGTGAACCGCAGCTCACATTCTGCCAACTCCACCGTCTACATTCTGACCATTTCAACATCTGTCCCTCAGGTTGTGAATAGAAATACAATAATACGTCCCTGGAGTTCCCCCTTTAATACCAGACAGTATTCATGAAATATTTGTATCTGCAGAAGGAAACCCTGAGAGAAGAAGTTTAGGACCCACGTCTCTAACAGGACAGATGTTTCTCGTCCTGTAAGGACTCTTGCAGATGCTTTCTCTAACAGGACAGATGTTTCTAGTCCTGTAAGGACTCTTGCAGACACTTTCTCTAACAGGACAGATGTTTCTCGTCCTGTAAGGACTCTTGCAGACGCTTTCTCTAACAGGACAGATGTTTCTAGTTCTGTAAGGACTCCCGCAGACGCTTTCTCTAACAGGACAGATGTTTCTAGTCCTGTAGGGACTCCCGCAGACGCTTTCTCTAACAGGACAGATGTTTCTAGTCCTGTAAGGACTCTTGCAGACGCTTTCTCTAACAGGACAGATGTTTCTCGTCCTGTAAGGACTCCCGCAGACGCTTTCTCTAACAGGACAGATGTTTCTAGTCCTGTAGGGACTCCCGCAGACGCTTTCTCTAACAGGACAGATGTTTCTCGTCCTGTAGAGACTCCCGCAGACGCTTTCTCTAACAGGACAGATGTTTCTCATCCTGTAAGGACTCCCGCAGACGCTTTCTGCTGAATGTATTTCTTCTGCTGCAACACAACAGGTTGAACTGGGTTTACTGGACACTTCTGAGATCCATCGTAGACGGACAGATATATTAAAAGTAAAAGTAAGTCTGACAGTACAGGAGTTTGCATGGCTGACCGTCGTTGATTGATTTCTAACACAAGGCAGTACTCTAGTGATGAGTTCAGAGCATTTCTGTGTGATTGGTATCAATAGAAGTAAAGCTGAGAGGGCGATCAATAGAAGAGAGAGACACTTGAAATGATGATTTACTTCTTTACTTAAGGTCTTATTAAACTTATTTCTTTTCCTTTTTACTAAATTAACTAAATGAACCAAAACACTGGCAACGATATTCTTGGGAAGATAATAATGAGAATAAATATGAAACTAAATATAAATCATACCCTCTGACGTAAATCAAACACTTTTACTGAGATGTTTATAGATATGCAGCTCTATAGATCTACAGAGGGAACCATGGAGTGCATCTTTGGATGGAAAACAATCTGAATGTAAAATGCTTTTGGCTCTTTCAGCTCATGAAGAGTTTCTGTCTTTTGTTTCAGGGCGGTCACGTTCCAAAGTACAAATAAATAACCATCAATCACTTAAAGGGCGAGTTACTGTGGAGACAGACGCTCTTATTATACTTTCCTCCTAAATACGATCAAACACCAGCAAACCTCGTCAGTCTGCAGGTCTTTAGACCCAAATGGAAACACAGACATTCATCAGAAAGTAGTCACTAAACTCACTAAACTTTGGACTGAAAGGATCAGCAACGTCTTCATCATTCTCAAACCATAACACAACAAATACGACTGTTTTCCACTCCTGCCGTTTAAAAAGAGGCGTAACATGGGCTGATGTTACTATTTTTAAGTTGCATAACAAGTTTAGGTAGGGTAGCAATTTGTACCAAAAAGCGTTACTAATCTTAAATCCTGTATTGTGCTGTAGTATGCTGGCGCAGAGCTCACAGAACCAATGTTTTCATCAAGATTCGGTCAAAAACGCAACATACAACATTGTGGATTCAAAGAGGAACATCTGCTGTGTGAAACACAAAGGTTTCTGGTCCTCAACCGTGACACCAAGCTCACAAACCAGAAGAAGAAGTATTTAGCATGGACAGAAAAAACACCAGAAGAAGAAGTATTTAGCATGGACAGAAAAAACACCAGAAGAAGAAGTATTTAGCATGGACAGAAATAAAGAAACATTTTCAACAAAACTGAACATCCAACCTGGAGACTTTCACTTTTATGGAGGTTTTTTTACGGACTCATCAGAATACTATTTTACCAAGAATAAAACATGATTTCTCACCAGTGAAGGTGAGTAGGTTTGGACATCGTGCTCTTCTCTTTAAATTGAAAGAAGTCGTCTACACTGTAGTTCTCCATCACAGGATCACTTGATCACAGCCTCACTGAGCAGTCAGCAGGACATCTTACTTTCTTGTGGATTATTCCGTCTGTGTGTCTGTCCTCAAATATGTACTGCAGGCCACGCCTCCTTGGCCCTGCAAAACAAACACAACATCACTGTCTGTACAGTGTCTCTGTTTGTTTGGTTTGATGCTGGAGATGTTTCACTGAACCCTCGTCCTCCTCGTCCTCCTCCTGTGGCCCCGAGTCTCTTATCAGGGACTCCGTGTTCTACTTTCACTGAAAAACTTTCTTTACATGTCAGGTGGAATGTAACTAACAGTTACTTACTTAAGTACTGTACTTACTATGAGGAACTTTTACCTGGTCCTGAACCAGTATCAGTGTAGTCCTGATCCTCTATCAGACCTCCATCAGTAAAGAGACCATCAGAGAGAAGATGGTCTGTTTCTATAGAGTTCTTCTTGATGCTCGTCATCGGAGCCACCGGGTCAGATTCTGGTGAAACCAGATGAACTCATGCAGGTTCACCAGAACCTCCTTCAGCTCAGACACCAGCAGAGACCGGTCCACCGTGGACAGACCCAGATCCTCCTGCAGAGACCGGTCCACCGTAGACAGACCCAGATCCACCAGCAGAGACCGGTCCACCGTGGACAGACTCAGATCCTCCAGCAGAGACCGGTCCACCGCGGACGGACCCAGATCCTCCAGCAGAGACCGGGCCATCGTGGACGGACCCAGATCCTCCAGCAGAGACCGGTGCACCGTGGATAGACCCAGATCCTCCAGCAGACACCGGTCCATCATGGACAGACCCAGATCCTCCAGCAGAGACCGGTCCACCGTGGACTCAATCCAAGCTAACAAAAACACGATTCTTAGTTTCAGGTGATTACACACTAAAGAAAACGTAGTTATGAGTATTATATTCTATTTCTTCTAATGGATCCCCCGAAATGCTACACACTGGCCCTTTAGGGAGAGGATCTGACATCACTGTCCAAGACAGAGGTGTGTGTAGTGGTGGAGACGTATGTGAAGTTTACGGGTCATATTCATTTCCTATGAAGAGCGAGAGAGCCGGCAGAACGTTGGATACGACAGACCGAACGTCCGCCGGGTCAAAATCTGCATAATCACGACTCAACCTCCACTTTATGCAAATTAAGTTTTTCCATCGCAAGGCAGTGGACTCGCAAAACTCAGATCAAACTGTCAAATAATATATAATACAGTAATATATTACAGTTGTCGCAAATTGGGAGTATAATTTAAATTCCGTAGTGCTACCCTGTTGTATAATGACAAATAAAAACAAAGTATTGTAACTGTCAAACTAGGACATGCTGATCAAACATGAATCAATATTCTGTTACTGCGTGGCCTCTTTCTCGCCCTAAATGTTTTCAGAAACATTTTTTTCGTGTACTGTTTACCTGTGAAATAACAAAGTTCATCACCCGGCTGCCATGTTGAAAACAGCCGAGCCAGAACCAAGACTCTTCCACCTGCCGGACCGTTGGGGGTTCTGCAACGTCTTTCTGTTCGTTAGCCGGATTTGGTGGATCTCCACCATATGACATGCTTTAAATATTCTGCTGGTTTATGATGTATATTGTTATTATCTGTAATTATACTTGAATGTGTCCACATATCTTTGGGTGTTACTAAGACAATTATTTCCAGAGACACACATCTAAGTCAGTTTGATCCCTCAGCACCTGACCAAGAACCACTTTGGGTTCATAATGTACTTTTCTTAAATACTAATGAGAGCAGATGGTGAAGAGAATGTGTCCTTTGGGAGACAATTAATGAGACACAAGCTGAAACACGTCTGAATGCTGCCACAAAATACCTTTCAGACTAATCTTAGCTATTGCGTATTTTTTAGGAGTTTATCTCCCTGATTGTTAACACGTTGAAACGCAAAATTAGGCTTCTTTTGCATTTTTCGCCCAGACAAACTGTTAATAGCTACTAATATTTAAAACCACAACTTTTGTAATTAATAATCATTCTGAAACCAGATCTGTTTTGAATTGCATTTGCCGCCCCTGGTGGTTCTTCTGTGTCGTGTCTCTTATTGACCCTGGAAACAGGAAGTGCTTTCCTTCCTCTCCAGATCTCACCTGAGGCAGCCACATGGGACTAATGCCGTCCTCTCCTTCACAGTTTACACATTGGTATCATCAGTGAGTAGCATTGTTTTTAGCTTGAAAGTGACATGGATGCATCGTTATTGGTTTGAACGTAGTTATTGTGTTTGGCCAGGAAATGGTTGACTTTATGCCTTGTTGTAAAATCAGATAGTTTGTTAAACTGATATATGAGCGAACCAGTCTTCTTTGGATTTACAGACTTACTTTACTTTCCTTTATTTCTGTGTCGGGGTGAAAGATGTCATATAGCCTTTAAGCAAAGGTTTGTGTATTATTTTAACACTGTTGTTGTACTAGAAGGTCAGAGTATTAAAGCGTGAAGAAGCCTGACGATCATTTCCTTCAAGTCTCGACTGGACAGAAAATAAAAGGATAAAGAAGAAGAAAATGTCCTTTGTATTATAGTTTTACCAAAACTTCCATAAAGAATGCTGATTGTAGGAATGTGTTGCCATTGCTGTCCTCGTGGTGTGATGTAAACATGGTGTTGTAGCGCCCCCTGTGACCAATCAGGGCCACTTGTACATCTCCATAAAGGAGGATGAGTCGCTTCAGTGACAGGATAATCAGTCACACCTGAGGAGATGTTTTAACAATAAAGAAAACATGAGCAGCGCCCCCCTGTGGCCGGACAGGAATCACATTTATTTTAATTTGTTTTTTTCAAAATTATATTTGTGACTTCTGAGTCAAGATATTATTCACGTTTAGAGAGAAATAAAACCTGTATTCACTAGAATATAAGGCTATTATTATTATTGTTATTATGGCAGAAGATAATAAGATACAATAGAATGCATATAATAAATCATTATTTATTAATACATGTTCTCATTTTAAAACATAAATGTGTAAATGTTGCAGTGTTTCTGGGATTAGGTGTGTTTTTTCACTTCAGTGTTGTACCTTTATTATGATATTATGGGATACTTCTTTATTTCAGATGGGACCTGGGCTACATAAAAGCATGCACCTGAACTCCTCAGCTGTCATTCAGCCAGTGCTGTGTGGTGGACCAGGCCTGATCCAGACCTGCACGCGTCCACCTGCAGCGCGCTGCTCGCTGCCTCACTGCGGCGGGCTGACGATGACTTGAATGCTGATTCTTGTGGAGATCGACAAAGGACACGAGGAAAAAAGGAGGAGATGAACCGTTTCCTGAGAGCCGGGGAGAACGGAGGGCTGCTGACGGACTGCAGGGAGCTGTCACCCAACCACACCGCCTCCTCCTCCTCCATCACCTCCTCCTCCAGCGCCGCTGGCCCAGCCGACAGACACGCGGCCCTGCCCTCGCTCCAGACCCGGGGACCTGTCGGCGGCGGCAGCGGCGGGTCGGAGCCGAGGAGATCCGCTCTTAAACGCAGCCGAGCCGGTCGAGAGGGACGAGAGGAACCGGAGGCGGCGGAACACTCAGCGGCTGCAGGAGAGGTGAGCGTCGGTAAGCAGCAGCAGCAGCGTCGGGAGGCTCAAGGACGCAGCGTCGGTGGAGAAGGTGTGGAGATGATTTCAGCGGTCAGCAGGGACGCGGACGGCGGCGGGAGCGGTCTCATCATCATCAACAACAACAACAACAACGAAGTGCCCGCGGCCTCTCCTGCGACATGCGCCAAAGGCAAGGAGGAGAGGAAGGGGAAGAACGTGATCCGGGGCTGGAAGAGAGACCGGGACCGGGAGAGGGACGCCGCCGCTCCTCCTCCCGCCCGGACGAGGAAAGAGAAGCTCGGCGATGGCTCGTCTCCTCCTCCGCCGCCTCCTCCTCCTCCTCCCTCCGCCGTCTTCCTCCCGTCGTGCGCCCTGCCCGAGCATCCTCTCTGCCGTAACGGCGCCGGACACTGCCACTGCGCCGCGCAGGACTCCAGGATCCCGGGAGATAACGGCCACATTAACAACGTCAACAGCAGCGGCAGCGGCAGCGGGAGTAATAACAGCGCGCTGGATTGTGGAGTTAAAAGCGGCGGCGGCGCTATTGTTGTCAGGCGGCAGCATGACGACACGCCGGCGGCCAAGAAACACAGAGGAGCCGAGAAGGTAAGCAGCTCTTATTGTCTGGAGGCCAATCATAAGAATAAGAATATTAATAAAAGAATCAGCAACACTGCAGAACAAACAGACGTCTCCTCACACAGCAGCCGTCCGTCTTTACATCAAACACCTGCAGGCGCACATTAAAGCTGGCAAACATACAACAGAGAGGAAATGTGTTTTTATTTCTTTATATATTCAGAGCACACACAGTGAAGTGAGATGCAGGTGTGAAGGCCACAAAGAAGCCTGCAGACACACACGGGGCGGTTTAGATGGACGGAGATGGAGATGCTGCTTGTTTCCTATTGTTGTGGCCCAGCTGGTGTCATTGTCCCGTCTGTCTGCTCTTATTTAACATGCTGATGTACTGGGATTGGGTTTTTTGTGTCTGTTGGAGGAGAGATGAAGAGAAGAGGGAGTAGCACTCCATCTCCTCCTCCTCCTCTTCCTCCTCCTCTTCCTCTCTCAGCACCATTTAATCCAGTCCTCCTAGCTTTTGCTGGAGATTAAAGCCAAAAGAAAGAGAGCAACTATTTATACATGTGAAGACTTATAAGACGTGAGCGAATGAGAATGTAAATCCTCCCTTCTTTTTCTGTGTTGCATCTGCAGGCTGTTTGTTTGCTCTTTTCATCTTGGGGTAGAATACTGGACTCAGGTGTGCGAGCATGGGACAAAACGTTTCTCTTTAAAGACATCAATCCTGCAGGTTGACAGGTCGGACTGCTGTGCATTTGACGAGCCACTCTTCAGCTCCATTTTCTAGTCTGTTAAGGGTCTAAAGGAGATGTTGCCACTTGTGAAATCATTTTGTTTGGGGGGGTTAAATAAGTAATCCGCATCCGGAGAGACAAAGATGGAGGGAGTTTATGGGAGGAGAGGGAGGAATTGGACATGACAGCAGAGGACACGGGCTGAGAGAGACAGAGCAAAATAAAGACAGATGGAGGATGTCCGAAAGGAGTTTTTATTTGTGGTGGATGCAGGATTAAGAAGAAAGCGAAGCATCCTCCCTGCTGCTGGCAGATGCTGCTGACAGGAGGAACGCTGGCCTGCTTTGTTTATTTGTTGATCTGAAGGATTCCCATTCGGCTGTGAAACACACACACACACACACACACACACACTCACCCTGAGCTCTGTGGTGACTGTCATTCACTCTGTCAGCAGTGATCTCGGCTGCACTGAAGCTGTTTAGTGTGATGGTTGTGGAGCTTCACAAGCGTTGAAACACTTCAGACTGAGACTCATTTTGACCTGAGTTTTGTCACAATCGGCGGTGAGCTGGAAACATAATCAACGATAATATATTTAGTTAAAGCGGATATTGACAGTCTTACCCGTGTCTCTTCTGAATGTTTAGCACATTTCAGATATTCAAAACAACGTCAAGAACCAAAACTTGGAGGTTCACACTTCTTCACACTTCTTCATCTTTGACCAGATGTTCCCTTTTTATTAAATGTTAATTTTCGACTAATGTTTAACAAAAACACATTTGAGTTTGACTTCAAATTAGAAAATAGGTTTTATACAAAACAACAACTTTATATTCCTCAATTATGTTTTTTGTATCCGTACAAAAGCTCGTTATATTGGACTGAAAACAGGCTTCTTAAAATGTAACTGCATTTGGAGATGAAAAATGATATAAAACATGTTTTATGTTGAGAAGACTCTCCACAGTTTTTACTGTTCCTGAAGACCGGCTCCTCTCACTACCTGCCTGTGACTGGTTCAGGTTTAGTTCACTATATTCAGAGTAATTAGTGCCATAAAAAGCCAAGTAGGAAGTAGTGTGATGTGTCATGGAGCCCGTCACCCTCCTTAAGGAGGAAGCAGAGGAGGAGGGTTGGGTCGTATAGGTCTGACTACAGTTGGTGTATTTTAAGGATGATGACCAACAAATCTATAAAGCAAACCTTCTGGAAGCTGCTGACAAACAACCTGTTGTGTTTGAGCAAGAAATGAGGATTTGTTGGAGATACCAGAGAGATACTTTAAGATAAAAAGCATTTCTTAAAGGTTTTTTGGCCAAATTCTGAAAAAATGCATTTGGGTCAAAACTGTTTTGTTACAAAAGACTGACTACTTATGGTTTATTCTTTGTATATTTAATACTTCTCAAAATGTGTGCTTGCAGGAAGAGCACAGGTTCAACTACTGATGGAGCGAAAGGTGAAGCAGCCGTTATTAATGCTGTTGGTCACATAAAGCTCAACACGTTATTTCTTGTTTCAGTGATATTGTGTCTGATTGAATGATTGACAGTTCAGACGTCAACATGAACCATCTTTATAGCTATTATTCTTTTTTTTTTGTTGGGAAGATTGAAATGAATCAATTCAAATCACAAGTGAGAATGTGAGATTTTATGATGCGTTCAATTTAAATTGAATCTCAATTGGATGAACTAGCTACACCCCTGCTGACAGGAGCCAATGTGGAGGCACTGGGTATATGAAATAGTCTGGATATTAAACAAAGCTTATGAATAAGGTTTAATTAAAGAGAAGCGTGTATTAATTATGTTTTACAGAGAGGGCCGAGGGCCTTTGTGCTCAGTCTTTTCATCTGATTTAATAGATCTGCTTGTATTTTAATCAATAAAGCGGTCTACACAGTTGGGTCTTTTTAAAGTCTATTTTCTTCTATTTTATATGCACAAGTATAGTGAATGTGTGTTGGGTGACCTACACTCAATATTGTGCCTGAACGCATCGTAGAGTCTGCTGGAACGTCAACATGCTGATGTTCAGCAGGTACAATGTTGACCATCTCAGTTTAGCGTGTCCGCGTGCTAAGTTAGCTTAGTTCCAATATCATGGAAGCTGGTGAGACAAAATACAATCTATTGGATCACTGTGTAGCCCCGCCCCTAAAGCATCCCCTGCTTTATGGTCTG